TGGTCTTGTGCATCTCCCCAAACGATGGAAAATGATGCTTGAAATGTTTTCTTTTCAGCTGTTGCTGGACTATCACTCGTTTATATCATTCAATCCGTGGCCGTAGTTCAATATGCTGTCAGAAAAGTTTCAGATGTGGAGAATTACATGACGTCAGTTGAACGAGTCAACACCTACACGAAGCTCGACTCTGAGCCTGGATACAAAGTGGAACGACTTCCCCCCGCACAATGGCCAAATGAAGGAGGTATCACATTCACAGATGTGTCACTGACGTATTACCCTGGGGGACCTCGAGTACTGAGGGAGATAAATCTTGGAATCAAGGGGAGAGCGAAAATGGGTGTTGCTGGTCGCACGGGAGCAGGGAAGTCATCCTTTGTGGCGGCACTCATGCGCATGCCTGATGCTGACGGTGAAATTAAGATTGACAATATTCCAATAAAAGAGATAAACATCAAAGCAGCCCGGCGATGCATCTCCGTGCTTGGCCAAAATCCTGTTCTTGTGAGTGGGTCACTGAGAAGAAATCTAGATGTGTTGGGTCAATATGAAGATGTTGACCTATGGCGTGTTTTAGAAGACGTGCAGCTGAAGTATTTGGTAGAAGGGCTGGATGGACAGCTTGAGTACAAATTGCTGGAACATGGTGCTAATATCAGTGTAGGAGAGCGGCAGTTGATTTGCTTGGCTCGTGTGTTGTTGCATCGAAGCAGGATCATCATATTAGACGAACCTACAGCACATGTGGATCCAGAAACAGAACAAACCATCTGGAAAGTAGTGCGTGATAAACTGAAGGACTCTACAGTGATCACTGTAGCCCACCGTTTGAACACCATTAAGGACTGTGAAATGATTTTGGTTTTGAAAGATGGAGAGGTTTACGGATCTAACAAATTGGACTCGTTGATAAATAAGAAAGGTAACAACTTGGGCGAATTGGCTCCAATCTCAAAAAATTAAAAAATGTGTGTGTCTGCACTTCCAAGAGGAAAAACTACATATTTTGATCATTTTGGGTGAATTCTCCATTACAGCTGGAGTTTTTATTGCAAAGGAAACCTCTAGAAACTAAATGTTAAACACAGTTTAGTGTTCCAACCTGGCGGCGATTCTGTTAATGGCTGAATTATTCAAGCGGATGAAACTAAAACGGAAAGCTGCAAAAACAACAGTTTGAAAATAAAGTGGAGAAAGAAAGGAAACAATTCAACGAATATCACTGAAATTAGTTGGTGGGTCACTGCACTGGATGCGACTTTGAACTGTGATTTACAATCGAATTTCTTACCTCCAACGAAGGAAACGAAACTACCTGAGAAACTATCAGTAAAAAACTGAAAACGATCGATTTTATCTTCAAATATCAATACTGATAAATAATACAACATTTTTGCACCGATACATTCCACGCGGGCGATAAAAAACTAAAACAACATTCTTAAGGTTACTTTTCACCTTCGTGGGTGTCCTTTGGGAAAAAATTCGTACGCGCGCAATTTTGAAGAAAACCCTAACAAACCATACATCAAAAGAAAGCTTAATACATGCAGTTTACGATAAAAAGTTAATTTGGGGGAATTTTTTATTTAGGGATTATCAGGAGCCGGTAAGGCGTGAAACGACTTAGGGTCCTTCTATTGAATTTATCGGGTATTGGATCTCGCTGCACGTGCAAAATGGCTACTCATTCTGATTCACAAGGCATCAATCAACAAAAGTGTGTCAGGCTTTTCCAATATTCTGATTGGGTCGTCTAGATATCCGCATCTAAAGTTAGAGTAGCGTCAAGCGGCGTGCGCACTCGGATTGCGTTGCATCATGGTCGTAAAACAAAAATTGAGTCATTTGCATCTTGACGCGGTAGAGTGAACTTCTTTGGTGGTAGCGAGATAGCGTGAATAT